GCAAGAACCCATGAGAACTGTCATCATGAGGACTTTATGGTTTATCAGAAGTAGCTGATACCATCTTAGGTCCAGTCCTTTATTTTAGTGCGGAAAGAACACAAACAACCAGACATGAGTAGGAATAACTTATAATTCAAAGTGAGTTTGTCTCTAGGACATTCTTCAAGTTTCAGGTCTCTCTCTTTTTTTAAAGATACATATTTTTTTTTCTCTTTTTCCCCCTTTTTTAAATTTAAATTTTATGTGTATGCTGAGTGTCTTACACTATGTAAGTACAGTGTATGTGTGTACTTGGTGTCCACATACATCAGAAAAGGGTACCAGATCCTCTGGAACTGGAGTAACAGAGGGTTATGATATGCCATGTGGGTGCTGGGAAACAAACTGGATTCCTTTACAAGAGCAGCAAGGGCTCTTAACCCCTAAGCCATATCTTTTAAAACTTTTTATATAACAAGGTATTAAGGCTCCTAAAACACCACAATGTGTGAACTAATACTGGCTGCTCTCCTAAGAGATTTAGGCTCACAGATTTAATATCCTTAACAGTAATATTGGCAAGTGACACAGATTAACTTTTGCTTCAATAAATGCACCATTAACTTGTTGGAGGAGACATGATGCAAGGATGGAGAGTAAGGGATCTGACCTTGGACAGGCTTTTAACTTTGCTATATCCCAGTTCCTGCAACTGTCATACACACATATTCTCATTCTCTCTCTCTCTCTCTCTCTCTCTCTCTCTCTCTCGAAAACGTGGAAACAAACTCTCCTTGAAGCAGAGAGGGAAGGTTATATTTTGAAATTCTCATCAGACAAATTACTATACAACATAGTAAATATAAACCTATCATTGTTACTTCAGCACTAATCCCCAAATAAAACTTGTTTCTGAAATGCATCATCTCTGGTCATTCAGCAACTAAGAAATATTTGATAATTATTAACTTTAAGTTTTTTTGTATTTATTAGCATATATTGTTTTTCACTGTGACATTTTCATGTACTAATGCATTTCAACCAAATATGTCCCCATTATCCACTCTTGTTCCCCTCCCACTCTTGTTGACCCCTTTTCTCTGCACAGCTAGTCACCCTTCTGCTTTCCTGTCTTTTTGTGTGGTTGTATCCCAGTATGTTAGAGAACTCAGTCCTGTATGCCTTGATGCCAGTATGTGCTCTCAGAGGAGGTTTTCAGGCTCACTTCCACTCTGAAGAAAGAAAACCTATGGTTATAGTCCTGGCTATGTTGCCATTTTATGCTGAGCATCAAAAGAAGTCTCTTATCTTCTTGGCCCAAGGTAACTTTAGTGAATCCCTGTAACTGGGACCCAAGTGCCCATGCACTTTTGTTCTCTGCAAGATGAACAGGTCATGGGCGTGGCACTGAGTAGTCCCTTGTACCACAACAGTCCTGAACTCTGGGGCGACATGTCTTCATTAGCTCCTGCAATCAGGGGCTTAGTTCAGTCTTATGCAGGTTCCCCAGCTGTCAGTCTGGAGTTAGAGATCTCCCACTATCTTGGGTCAGCTGTTTCTGGGGGTATCCCCATCATGGTCTTGACCCTTTTGCTCATATTATCTCTCCTCCCTCTCTTCAACTGGACTCTGGAAGCTCGGCCCAGTGCTTAGCTGTGGATCTCTGCATCTGCTTCCATCAGTTACTAGATGAAGGTTTGACAATTACGGTAATCCTTAATCTGATTACAAGGGAAGGCCAGTAGGCACCCTCTCCACTATTGCTTAGTTTTATCTAGGCTCATCCTTGTGTATTCCTGGGAATTTCCCTAGTGTCAGGTTTCTCGATAATCTCATAACGGCTCCCTCTTATTAAGATATTTCTTTCCTTGCTCTCCCTGTCTTTCCCACAACTTGACCATCCTGTTCCCTCATGTTCTCCTCCTGACTCCCTTTCCATCCTCTTTCCTCCCTCTCACACTCCCAATTTACTCAGGAGAGCTTGTCTATTTCCCCTTCCTAGGGGGATACATGTATGTCTCTCTTAGGGTCCTCCTTGTTACCTAGCTTCTCTGGGGTTGTGGACTATAGTTTGGTTATTCTTTGCTTTATGCCTAATATCAACTTATGAGTGAGTACATACCATGTTTGTCTTTCTGGGTCTGGGTTACCTCACTCAGGATGATTTTTTTCTAGTTCCACCCATTTGCCTGCAAATTTCAAGATGTCATTATTTTTTTTTTTTACCACTCAGTATGACTCTACTGTGTCAATGTACCACATTTTCTTTATCAATTCTTTGGTTGAGGGGCATCTAGGTTGTTTCCAGGTTCTGGCTATTACAAACACTGTTGCTATGAACAGAGTTGACCAAATGAGTATGCATCCTTTTGGTATATACCTAAAAGTGGTATTGCTGGGTCTTGAGGTAGATTGATTCCCAATTTTCTGAGAAACCACTATACAGATTTCCAAAATGGCTGTACAAGTTTGCATTCTTACCAGCAATGGAGGAGTGTTTCCCTTACTCTACAACCTCTTCAGCATAAGCTCTCATCAGTGTTTTTGATTTTAGCCATTCTGACAGGTATGAGATGGAGAGAAACTCAAAGCAATTCCACTAAAATCAGGAACAAGACAAGGCTTTCCCTTTCTCCGTATCTATTCAATATAGTATCCGAAGTTTTAGCTAGAGCAATAAGACAACAAAAGGAGATTAAGGGGATACAAACTGGAAAGGAAGAAGTCAAACTCTCCCTATTTGAAGATGATATGACAGTATACATAAGTGACCCAAAAAATACCTGGGAACTCCTATAACTGGTAAACACCTTCAGTAACGTGGCAGGATACAAGATTAACTCAAAAAAATCAATAGCCCTCCTATATACAGATGTTAAATGGGCTGAAAAAGAAATCAGAGAAATACCATCTTTCACAATAGCCACAAACCTGTATGACAAGAACTTTAAGTCTTTGAAGAATGAAACTGAAGAGGATATCAGAAAATGGAGAGATCTCCCATGGTCTTGGATAGATAGGATTAACAAAAGCCATCTTACCAAAAGCAATCTACAGATTCAACGCAATCCCCATCAAAATCCAAACACAATTCTTCACAGACCTTAAAAGAACAATACACAACTTCATATGGAAAAACAAAAAACCCAGGATAGTCAAAACAATTCTGTACAATAAAGGAACTACTAGAGGCATCAGCATCCCTGATTTTAAGTTCTATTATAGAGCCACAGTAACGAAACAACTTGGTACTGGCATAAAAACAGACAGGTGGACCAATGGACCCAAATAGAAGACCCTGATATTAACCCACACACCTATGAATACCTGGTTTTTGACAAAGAAGCTAAATACAATAGAAAAAAGAAAGCATCTTCAGCAAATAGTGCTGGCATAACTGGAGTTTGACATGTAGAAGATCTTCACCAACCCCACATTTGACAGAGGGCTGATCCAAAGTACACAAAGAACTCAAAAACTGGACACCAAAATACCAAATAATCCAATTTAAAAATGGGGTACAGATCTAAACGGAGAATTCTCAACAGAAGAAACTCAAATGGCTGAAAGACATAGTGAACTGCTCAACATCCTTAGCCATCAGGGAAATGTAAATCTAAACTTTAACACTTTTTAAAGAGGGTTCTCTAATGAATAATGTTCTTTTTCCTTCCTTCCTTCCTTCCTTCCTTCCTTCCTTCCTTCCTTTCTAAAAGACAGAATCTCAAGCAGTCCAGGTTGGCCTCCAATTCACTTTGTAGGCAAGACTAACCCAAGAATAACCTTGAATTCTTGATCTTCCTGTCTCCACCTCTCCAGTGGGAGATTATAAGTATGTGCCACTACACCTGGTAGATGGTGGACTCTTTTTTTTTTTTCAGATTTTTAAAATTTGAATTAGAAACAAGATTGTTTTACATGACAATCCCAGTTCCCTTCTCCCTCCCATCCTCCCCTACCACCCCCCCCAACTAAAACCCTACCTATCACATATCCTTTCTTCTATTCTTCCCCTGACTCAACCTTTCTGCTCCCTCATGACCTCTGCATCCTTCCTCTTCTTCCCTTCTCATTCTGGTAGCTCCCTCCCCCCTCTTCCCATGCTCTCAATTTGCTCAGGGGATCTTGACCCTTTCCCCTTCTCCAGGGGAACCAAGTATGTCTAAGGGTCGTCCTTGTTTACTAGCTTCTCTGGCAGTGTGGATAGTAGGCTGGTAATCCTTGACTCTATGTCTAAAATCCACATATGAGTGAGTACATATCATGTTTGTCTTTATGTGATTGGGTTGATGGTGGACTTAAAGTGCTATTAAGCACAGCCATTATTAAATGCTATATGTACCTCCCAAGCAAACACATAATATAAAATCTCAAATATTCAGATGTTAAACTTTGGTACCATAAAGCAAGATTTAGCTAATACAGATTATTAAGATTATTAAGTATGCTCTTTAGGTAACTGATTTTTTTTTTTTTTTTTTTTTTAGGTATAAATTCTTTACCAAAAGTTTCTTTACAAAGAAAAGTAACTAAATGAAAAACATGTATGTTAGCAAGGTACTTTACCTAAGTCTTCAAGAACAGATAGTGCAGCTGTTTTGATTTTAAGAGGAATACTATATTAACAGTCACTGAAAACAGCAAGTAAGTTTGGCTTAGTCCAGGGCAAAGCCACTAAAAACTAAGGATAACACAGTTAGCAGCCGTCCCCGGAAAGGATCTGGAAAAAACCTCTCTGACCCTTTTCTACTTGTTCAATTGTAGACACATTTAAATTTTTTCTTGATTCTTTCATTTAGTAGCCCTAGAAAATACACAAAGGTAAAAGAACAGAACTACAAATTACACACAATTAAAAACATAGTAAGTCTAAGAACAAATATATTTCCACTGATAAAATCCAGGTTACATATAAAGCTCATTGTGGTTAGTTATAAAAAAAAAAAATGGTTAAAAGGCTCCAGCACTCCGGAAACAGTGGACATTACTGACTGTCATCCCTCACCAAGAAACATTACCTGTTGCAGTATTCAACCACAGACTCCCTGGTTGTAAATAAAGCTTCCTCTCCTTTCTTGGCCTTTGCCCATTTTGAATCCAAGAGGCAATCCACTGCTTTTGAAGCTACAGAAGAAATTTGTTATTTAAAATTCAGTATACGTAAACATGTCTAAAGAAACATGTTATAAATGTCAACATTCTGATATTAGAAAATAAAACAATAGAATGAAGTCTAATGACTACCACTACGTTCTTTAAGGCCAACCCATGAAATATATTGATACGCACTTTCACAGCAATATTGGTTAATAAATAATATTACTCAAAGCAAGATAAATTAATGGGGAAATGTTAGTAACAAAAAAAATCCTCTCAAAAATATTTGTATATAACCATCAATCACAATAAAAAAATAACCCTAAATACTTCCTTCGTCCCTCAATGGTAATGAAAATTCTCAAGTTGTAACCCACCAAAGAATCACTCTGAACAATCTACCACTGTGACTAGCAAATAAATACATTAGATTTAGAGATTAGCATGTCTATTTTTCTAATATTTTAAGAGTATCAAATCATTAATAACAAAAAGAAGGCATTTCTTCTGTGTAAGGAAATTGAAGTTTAATTGATGAGACAGAGAAATACAACCACCATTTATAAGCTACTGGGCTATATTATATTATATTATAGATACCAGCTTATCATGAGGTTGAATGGATAATAAATGAACAATGTACCTAGTTAGTTCCATGTAATCACACTATCTGAACAAAAGGTAGTATTTCACAACAAACACTGAAAATACATCTTATTTTTTAAATTTCCAACAAAACCAATTATAAAGCACTCTATCTTTACTTTTCAATCATAAAGGTAAGACCAGGATAATCAACTGCCATATGCCCATCACCCAACTTTAATAATCACACATGGAAGCTCTTTCATAACTTCTACATATCCTAATTTAGGTAACTTCATAGGATTTGTACAGTAGTAAGACTTTAGAGATGTAATCCTACCAATAAAATAATCGACCCGATGGCCCATCATATTGGTGGACTTTGTTGGACAGTTGAATCGAAGATACTTGGCTACAGCCTTCTCTTCTTTTGATGGTTCACCAACTTCCTGCAACACAGGAATATTAATTTAGTGTGCTTATGTATGTAAGAAAATCAAGCTCTAGAATAATTTCACATCTGTTCTGTAAACCCTTTTCAAGTGCTACAGAAGGCTTGCTTCCAGACCACCACCCACCCTTGTATGGCTCCTTTTAATACTCACAAAGCATTAATTTAAAAGATAAGATGCTGCCAATAATGATTGCTTAAATGGCAAAGTAAGTAGAAACAGTTACTATAAATAAGTGTTATAACCACAGTCAAAGATATGTGTCCTGACCAATGGATGACAGCTTGTAAAAATTCACCAGTTAACCTAAGGTAGCTACTTCAAGGTAGTGACGAGAAGAACTGAGGTGCTGATGACTAGGACACAGATGCTGTCTGGGATTTTCTCTTCCCTGGTACGACTGTGACAAAAAGGGAAATGTCAAAGGGCTATCCCTATTAACGGCAGCACAATAACAAATGATTTTCCTCATTCAATGCATCTGTTTTCAACTTAAAAGTTTATCCATTTAATGGTAACTTGTTACAAGGATGGAACTTGATTTGAAATCAAAAGAAGGAAGGTTGATTAAATAATGATATCTCAATAAATCTAAGTCATTCATTCAATCAAATACATACTGCCTCAGTGTTTATCCTATAATCTTTGGATGCTACAATGTATATTAGTATAGCAGGATACCTGTACTTTGTTACATAAATATCTCAAACAGCAATTGCTATTTTCCCAAAGGAATGATAAATAAAAATATTTTAAAAGTAGAAAAAGTAGAAGTGAAATTATCAGTGTACAGAAAAGGTGTCTTACAGAGAACTTGATTTTCAAAGACAAGTTCTGAGTAAACTGAATGAACAGCATAAACAATGAAGCTGAAAATGAGCAAAGAATTGACTCTTACAGAGATCAGTTATAATGTACAAGGAAGTTAAATTTGTACAAAGAGAATAAAGAGCCCTTAAGGCAAGCTAGGAAACTTTAACTTTATTCCATAAGAAGCAGAAAGATTACTATGTTTTTTAATAGATCAGAAATAGGAAAGTAACAAATATTGTTTTTATGATTGTAGGCAAGAGGAATAGGGAAAAACATGCAAAGGAGGAAAAGTAGTTAGGAGACTATTGTAACAGTCAAATAAATGTGATATGACATTGGTCTACAAATCGAAGGAAACACATATTTGAAACATTTCAAATGTAGAGTACATAGGATGAATGGTAAAGGGTAAATTAAATGAGTAGACACAAAATGTCAGATTTCTATGTTAATTAGTAAAAAAGAAACACAAAGTTGGGTGGGTAGGGAGGTAGGAAGGGATCGGGAGGATTTGGGTTGAATACGTTCAAAATATTATTTTTTTTAGAAAGTTTCAATAACAGGAAATGTGTAAGAAAGGTGATTCTAGAGAACAATCATCATTTTAGGCTTGGTACACGAATCTTAAATTAAACCATCAGCACAGATAAATGTGCTAATTTCCTGAGTGCTGACCAAGGCATCACATGTAAAAATATCAAGATACAAAAACTCAGAAGGTTGACAATGTTATAGGAAGTCAGACACTGTTAAGTATCTGCAAAAATTCTTTACATTTCACTTTAACAATGAAGTTAATTAACTTTTCCCCTAACTCTGTATTTTCCTTGATAAAGGCACTACTAAACAATGGACAGAAGAAAAAGTGACAACTGAATAACCTTTTTAAGTGGACACAAAATTCAGTTGTCTACTGTACTCTCCTAAAGTATCAGTGACTGATACTGGTTACTACAGAGAGCTCTTGATGAAAACATATCATTTGGAGCATCTGCTGGGATTTTAGTACTAGAAAGACTGCTGTAAGGGAGAGAGAGAGCAGCACCAGCTAGGACACTATAAGCTGGATACATGGGGAGATCCTGTGTGACTGCCCTGCTGCAGCCTAAACACAGCATAAAATACACTTACCTTGTTTATACTATCTTCCCTATTTGTTCCCTTTTATTGTGAAGAGAATATGTTTCTGCTTTTGTGCTACACTGTTATTAAGTAAAAGCCTTTTAAGAGTATTAGTAAATGCTTATAAAACATACAAAAACAGCTCAACTCTGAAATAAATGAAAAGAACTTTTTAGCCCCATTAACTCTCACAGTTGTCTTTGAATAAGTAGTCAAAGAACGAACAAGTTTGGCCTAAATTGCCTTTTCTTTGCATCCAGATACCAATTTACTGGTTGTTGTTAATCACAACCCAAAATTACTTAGACAGGAAGACTGGTAGAATATTCATAAAAATTTTTAATTAATATATTTTAGAATATATCAATACCCAAATACTACAAAGAAATAGGAAAAGATCCAGAGCAAGCCAACGACTTTACTCTTACAGAATTTCAAATAATTTGCTGCTAAAAAGAAATAAACTTACTGGTCTGTCAATAGCGGGGTGAATAAATTTGTAAATTTGAACACAGATATAAAAAAGTAGTATGTTTATGAAAATACCAACAGGTTAATAGGAGATATTTTGAAAACTGGAGGGGATCTTGAATAAACTATTTGCTTAAAGTCATACAGCTCTGTAAGCTAACAATAGCAGTCCCCTCTCCAACTTGCTTCTATCATATTTCCTGTGGTAACAGGTTTGCTATATACTGCAAAATTCTCTATTAAGCCCAGTATGTTGTGGGTGGGGGGAGGATGAATTTTCAGACTGAGGTTTCTAGGTTCTTTCTCTATCCCTCAGAGGTCCTGAGAAGTCAGACCTGAAGTCTCGCTGAACAGTCCTCAACATTTTTCTTCTCTTTCATGAAATGAGGCATATAAACCCATGATATGTCATGATTTTACTGCCAGGGAGACAGATGGGCACAACAAAAATAACTTATGGAGGTTATACAAGTCCTAAGATACAGAAGTCATCTGAAGATTTCAAAACTGAACTCATTTCTATATACAAGCAGAATACTATACATGACGATTCTCTGAGCAGGAATAAGTCATACTATCTTTGTTACAAAAGTTTATATTCAGAATTTGGGGAGCTAGACAGATAGCTCTGTGGTTAAGAACACACACTAGCATTCTTCCCAGCACCCATATTGGGTGGCCCATCACTGCCTGTAACTCCAGTTCCAGAAGATCTGATGCCCTTTTCTGTCCTCAGATGCACTAAGGTGCACCATATCTCTACAAAGGTACACAGAAATACACAAAATTAAATATGTGTAAAATGGTTTGGGATTAAAGTATTTCAAAACTTATCTTTTTTAAGTCAATGATAAAGTGGAAAGAATATTCCACTGAAAATTAGATGACTACTCTAAACCTAGTTTTATTAACTTAAAGGCAATCTTAGTTCAAATCACATAACCTCACTGGACATGAGTTTGTCAGTAAGAATGAGGGTGAGACCAGAAAGCTTCAAGCCTACTATGTATGGACTAAACTTTTTTTTTTTTTTTTTCTGTGTAAGTGTGTGCATGTAGAACAGAAGTCAGGACAGTTCTACAGGTCAGTTTTCTCTTGCCACCTTGCAGGATCAAACTCAAGCCATCAGGTAATTGCCTCTGCCCCTGAGCCATCTCCCCTCCCAAGGCTCACTTAGGACAGAGGCTTCCAAATAAGTTCTATCAGATTCTTTTCAATTTTTAAGTTTCATGATACCAGAATTCCAAATCAATGCTTTTAGTGCCTTGTTAATCTATAAAGTCACTGTATTTCCTAAAAATACATAATTGCTTTTCTTTTTTTCTGGTTTTTGAGACAGGGTTTCTCTGTGTAGCATAATAGCTTTTCTTAAACAAGATTTTTTTTGTTTTAAGTATTTCATTAGTTTGGACTGACATCACTCTAGTTAGTTATTAAACATTTTCAACACAATGTCAATTAACATACAAGCTCACTTCCAAGTTACAGTGTCCTGAGTCCAAAAAAGAAATGTGATAACAGTCCCCTTGCTTCCAACTCTGTTAGGGCACCAGATTTTAAAATTATTCTGTCCTGGAAAAGCAAATGAATTGGCTATAAAAACAAAACGAAACATAACTCTCAACTTAAGTGGTTCTATCGAATATCCCTCCCTTCCCCAAAAAGCCACTATAATTCAAGGTCAATAGAATCTACTTAAAACTCATTTCTAAACAAAAACATCAAGTAACAACAGGAAGCTCAACTGTTAGTATATAAATGCTTCTGCTTTAAAGTCTTTGAACAGACTTTTTTCTGTAACAAACTCTGAACTGTTATTACATTCGATCTTTTTTTATCTCAGGTAATGCCAATATTAGAGTTTTTGGTTCTTGACAGGAATAAAAATGAGGAATTCCCTCCTAGGACAGTTGGAAGAGGTTGAAGAAATGTTTCTGAGGTTAACACTGGCTGCTTTTCCAGAAGACCTAGGTTTGTATGCTAGCACACACTGTCAGGAAGCCTGTAACTCTAGCTCCTTGGGAGCTGACACCCCTTTCTGGCCTACACTGGCACCTGGACCCATGCGCACATAACCACACATAGACACACATGTACACACAACCAAAAAATATGTGTTGGGCTGTATGAAAGTAGTACTGTAATATCTTCCACAAACATTCTATACTGCCATATAGAAATTAAGTTGGAGGATGGGAAAAAATTTTAATTTCACAATACCAAGCTGAGTTTTCAGAGTCTCAAATAAACAGAAAGTAAATAGCCATACTTCATATAACTTATAGCCTAATGGTTAATTTACTGGATAGGTGGCTGTTAATTATTTTTAAGCTTATTAAGGAGTGCTTAACAAAAACCAATATAACCTAACCTAATTTCTTTATTCTGGTGAAGGAGGGCAAGAAAGAGGTTATGCACTAAGCATTTTCAAGAATTTTTAATGCCATTAATTTACTTAATGTTCTCATGCCAACTCTACAACCTTAAAAAGAATTTTCTTCAAGGTAAACAATCCTTCTTACAAATGCAGAAGTTGAGGTGAAAAAACAAAACTTCAAAGTCCTTGCTAATTGGTGGAGCTAGAGTACAAATAGGTACAAGATGACTAAGTTGCAGCTTTTGACCACTACCTTAAGGTACCATAAAGCTTCTTTACCTACTTTTCTGTTTAACCTAAGTTCATAACTGAAATACTAGCAGCTACTTAAAAAGTTACTATCACCTTTATGACAATATTGAAGAGCGGATAAAACTGTAAAATGATGTGTATTAAAGGGCAAAAATGTACAAAATTGTACTGCCGGGGGTAATTACAAATAAGGAGTACAGGCGATGCATATCTGACATTCAATACAAATTATCATAAAGTAACTATCTATGTTAAACCACATTACTAAATTTCAAAAGCCTAGGAATAGCATACTTAGAAACTTCTACTATTGTCTGGACACTTTGGTGTTAAGACCTGTGTCAACTTGGAATATGCCTCTAGTTCCCTATGCACTCTGTTCAAAATTATTTGGTCAATGTCTGCCAAATTCCAAACTTACTGAACACACCGGTATCTTTCCTACAGTATTTTTTTTAAGTTTTTCAACTTTTAAAAGTTTTAACTTACATAATTCAAAAGACCCGCAGGCCAATGAATCAATAAAACTTTACAAACAGATATTAAATTTAAAAAAAGGAAAAGTCATCCTAAGCGAGGGACAGAAAGACAAGGATGAGCTGTGACAGATAGATTAACAATTTACTACAGGCGGTCACTTAATCGAGCCTTTGGGTTTCTGGGTGAGCTCATGAGGCGCTCCTCACTCACATCGATGTTTAGCCCACACTGACATTAAACAAAGAACAGACAACTGTGGGGGGTGGGGGGAGGACTGCGGGGAAGACGTGCACAGGTGACATACATTCACATGGACGAGGGAGGGATGCTATGTAGGGCATGAGGCTGACAAGCTGGCATGTCAAAGGCTCTGGGTGCCACCAGCTCATTGCAGCACCGACGGGGCAGGGTTTGTTTACATCGCGTCGCCTGGAAGAGAGCCGGCAAGCGTCAAGTAGACTATTCGGTTCAAGAACTACGGAGATGGGGAAAGGAGGGCAGACGCCACGGAACATCTGGAAGGGCCCGCAGGCCGGCCGGGGGCAGCTGCCCGCCGTCCCGGGGGCACAAAGCCCGGCTGCGGAGCCTCGGGTCAGCCCTCCGCCGCCTCCTACCCCAGTTC